ATAATTATATTTCTCTGTCCTTTGCTGTCTTTATCCAGGCAATGATCCTGATGGTGGCGGTAGTGATGGCACATTATATTTATATAACATTCAGCCGTTTAGCATATATAGAAGCTCTAAGTTAACTCAACAAGGTCATGGAGGTAGCCCGGACTTTGTCAGGTTGTCTGATTCTAAAGTTCTTTTGTTTTATCAGATTTAGTCTTTGCTTTTTGGCAGGATTATTGGTTGGACTTTGGAACAAATACAAAGTCCAGTGCAAAGAAAGAGTACTTTGGAGAGAGAAAAAAAGAAATGTATTTCAGAATACGCTTAGAATAAAAGCATGGAAGTAACTTGGAATTTCTCAAAACCTGTTGAAACTCAGCTTCGCATATTCTCTAGCCCCATGGAATGCCAGCATACTTCCCCTGATGGTCTGGGGATTTCTGGATCCCAATTTGGAATGACTGGCCTCCACTGTGCCCAATCCCACGAGAGATTTGACAGATCAAATGGTCAAATATTGGCAGTTTTATATGGTTAAACAGAATGCAATGACCATGCCCTGTTCCCAGTCCCTTTTTCTTGCCAAGGTGTACTGTCTCCCATTACTTACACTCCTGGGATTTTAAGTGGAGCTTTAGTAGTGAAATATTTCTGCTTAAAAAGAGAGAAAACTATTTCCCAATGAAACATTGAAAAATCCTTCCAATTATTTTATTCTCAAACAACAGTTACTCTTGACTTGCTTGTTTCTGACTTCAGAGAAAATGCCCAGGCAGTTGAATTTCATTAGTTGAGTAGTTGTGGAGCTGTTCTCTCAAAAATATTTTATTTTCTGAAGATATTCTCTAGGGTGTGTCCGTAACACCCCCTTCCTGACCCAGAGTCATAGTCCAACTGACAGCACAACTGATGTTGAGGTTATTATACTTAATGTGAGCAGTGAGGTGCCACACAGATGAGGTATCATTTTATATCATCATCTTTTGGATTTATGAACTGCATGGTATTGCCAAAAGATGGGCACTCACTAAATTCCCATAGCTGACTTCTAAGGGTGCATTCATTTAAACTGCAATGGAATTGGTGGGTTTGGAGTCAGACAGCTGCATCCAAGTTCTGAATTCCCACTTACTAGCCCTGTGCCCTTAGACAACACATACCTGAAGCCTTTTCTCAAATTTACGTAAAGTGGGATACTTACAGTGCCCACCCCAAAGAATTAATGGAATGCTTAAATGACTTCATCCATGTAGAAGGCTTATTAACATAACCTGTATTCACTCAATAAATGGCAGCTCTTATTTTTACTTTCTGCTAACATAATTCCCGTGGTTTTTAGCCCACCAAAATTCTTTAACACTGAGAGCATTGGGATTTAGTAAAGTGAAGCTCAGAGCTCTGGCTTTAAGAAGGAAGATCTAGTTGTATCAATGAGGAATATTTACTGCACAAAACAACAGAATATCTGACTATAAGGGGCTTGAATAAGTAGGGATTTTAAAAAAAAGCAGTACGAATCATCTGGAGGTGGATGGTTCCTGGTGGCATTCAGCCTCTGTGCTATCAGAGCTGGTACCTTTGTGCTTGTCTTGGACTTTCCCTTTTCTTCTCCAAGTAAGGTGGGACAAAAGGAAGAAAGGACAATACCCACCATGTCTATTCTTTCTATTTTATGTAAAATAAAGCTTTCTCAGAAACTTCTGTTTCTGACTCATTTGCTAGCTGGATGCCACGTGACCACTCCCACCTGCATAGTGAACTGCATCCGTTTTTTCCAGCCTTTGCTGTAGAAGTGGTGCAGGAGAAGGCAGTTGGCTGGGTCAGACAGTTGCCAACATTTATTACACCAGATTAAAGCTTCCTTCTGAATTATAGAGCAGGGGTAAATGTATTGAGATTCCGTGTGAATTTACCTTGAAGCCCAAATGTGTTCATGTGGTCTCCCAGAAACCACTTATTAATGTGACACCCCTTGTCCACCACCACCAAAGAGCAGGACCTCTCAGCAACTTCTGAGCCCTAGAAGTTCTCATTCTAGTGCTTTTCTTTCTTTCCTAACAATTCAGTTCTAAGCATCTGTGGGGCTGGAGGGAGGAGGTGATGCCCAGCCCTGTGGGGTAAGGAAAGGGTCTCTCAGGAGGGGGTCTCCTGGCCAGATCCAGCCTTCTGTGCAAGGATCACATCTGAAGGACAGGGTGTTGTGGCCCCAGGAATTGGAGCCTGACCCAGTGAGGAACTTGGGGAGGTGGGGAGACAGGCACGGGGTCAGGTAATCACCACTCCCACTCCCACCCTCCACTATATGAAGCCACAAAGCTAAAAAAGGAAACTGTACCCTGCTTTCCCTTATTCCACTGCCCTGTTGAGAGGATGGGAATGAATGGGTAATACACATACAAGTGTACACTTCACATCTCACACTTACCCACTGTCACCCTAATAAATCCATTTTTTTTTTCTTTCGTGTTTTCATGGACCCTGACCCTCTCCCTATACACACATGATTTTGACATGGCTTCAATAATAGTTAAGGTACAACATCACATTCTGCTTTGTATTTTCTCCTCTAAACATTAGGATTGATTCGGTCTTAACAGAGGTCCTTGAGATAGCCAGGACATTTACCTGCGGACGTTCCCATTCCACCCTCCTGCTCTGTGTTTCCAGATGAAGGCTGAACTTGTTGTTTTAACTAGAGGTCATTTATTAAAATAGCAGGAGGGTAATCTAATTGCTTTGAGATCTCTCCGCGTCATGTGAATTGGGTGGTTAAAACTTGATTTATGTCAAGTGCTTTGTCATTTTATTTATGCCAGCTAAATGGAGTCTCACTATTTGCTTACGGATTGTTGTTTATGCCCCGCCCCCCACCCCTTTTCAGTAGCTATTTCACTGTTACTAGTGAAGCAAAAGTGCATCCTTCAAAAGGGAAGCTTGTGGCTGCTCACTCAGGTTACCTCACAGCGTGCCGTCCCCTGTATATTCTTTATCAGGTAACCCTCTTCTGCAACGATGAGTCACTCTGGGCCGACCTCAGCCCCCTCATGAGAGTGCGAGCTGTTTGATGCCCGTATGAAATGTTTTAATACCTTTGTCATTTCCTCTAATGCATGGATTTATAAAAGCCTGAGGGGACCTGGTATTTATTGAAGATGGAAATTGGTATGAGCAGTCAGTAACAAAATGAATTAATATATGATTTATTTTATCAAGTCGATTGTAAATATAATTTACAACATTCAAAAAAAACCTCTCAGATTCTATCCTGAAACCTTTCTTATTCCAAGTGATATACACATGCTTTATTTTCTGAGTGACTTTACTGTACTTTTATGACATTAACTGCTCTCTTACTAGGTAGAGTATTTGCTTCTTGGTGATTATTTCGTACTTCTACTGAGTTGTGTATCAGTTAGCTTTTCTATTATTTCTATTACTTAATATTTATGGTATCTTACACTCTTATTATATGAAGCTCCCCATCCGAGCTGATGTAGTTAATGGAAAAATAAAACAGTTTGAGTCAAGCTATTGTTATGTCCAGTTCATTGTTGTAACACAAATGGTGCTATGTGTTTCCACTGGCAAGGAGTTTTTTTCACAACTCGGGGTCTTTTATTTTCTTCCTTACACAAAAATATAATGACAGGCAGTCATACCTCTCACATTCAAGCCAGGCCCTATTTACATTTGAGGATGCCCCCTAAAAGTTCTTAAAACAGGACATTATCCCTAATGTTGCAGATTATGTTTACCTTTGACAGTGCTCACTGATTAAGGTTATTGACTTGTGTGTGCATAGTAAGAGGCTCTGTTTGTTCAGAATTACGCTGGTGGCATACAGAGAGCCCACTTAGGTGACAGGATGCCCCCTGGGCCTAGGCACTCTCCTGATGAGCGGGTCTGTTTGTCCAGGGGTGTCACTAGGACGATTTCCCCAGCTTAGTCCTAAAGACTGGTTTGCTTTGAATGGGATAACCTTTCCCAGGGCATAGTTTACCTTGATGTTGAAGTCCCTGCTTGCTTTGTTCTTTCTCTGGAATGGCCACCGGAAGCCACAAGGTACCATTCCTCTTGCTCACCTCCACGTGGCTCTGCAGTCACATCTTGCTTCTCTTGACTTTGTGGCCGCTTCCTAGGTCTTAAGTCCTCATGAAATGTAGTTGAAGAAGCAAAGAAGCAAAGTCTTGACTTCTGCTTTTCCCTTTTTATTGCTTCTCTCCACTTACCAGCTCTCTACATTTCAAGGGAGTCATATCTGTTTCTTCCCTTTGAGGAAATAAAATGATAGTTCCTAAATTAAAAGCTCATGGCTATTTTTTTGTGATTCGTTTTAATTTCTTAACCTTGAAAGAGAGATTCAAGTCTATGGGGGAGGCATCTGGGGGCAGAGAATGATGACCATGGGCAAGCAGAACAAATGGGCCTTCCTTTTAAAAGGTTTAGTAGTAAGTTGGTGAGGTTTTTTTGGAGGAAATCCTGTCCAAGAAAGAATACCAGACAATCTCTAAAAGTTTAATAGGGAAAGAAAGTGGACAGTTTGGAATATTTGTGCATGTCTCAAAGACTGAGCGCCCTCTGCCAACATCACCATTATTCATTCTCGTTTATGGGAGAACTAAATCTATTCTCACTATTGTTTCAAAGTTTTAAGGCAGCTTGGGGGCCTGATTGAATGCTTTGAGGTAACCACTCTTAAGATTCAGCCCCTCACCCTGCAGATACTTATCTTGACTCTTTCAGCAAAGACACGCAGAGTCCGCACCGCAGGGGGTCTCCTACTCATCATCTTAACTTGTCCAGTTAAGTGTGTGCCCACCATAGGTGGACACAGGATGCTAGTTAAGCCGCCAGAAGATAATTCATCTGCACAGACCTTCCAAGCGTGTTGCGTTAACGTGAGGCAGTGTTCTTCAGCACAGGTGCTTAGAGCTGGTGTGGCCTGTGCTTTGCGTCCTGATGCACATGCTGTTGGCGTGGGCTGTGTTTTAACACCCTCTTCCATTTCCTAGGAAGTGACAATGGTGAAGCCCTCCCTGAGTCCATCCCATCAGCTCCTGGGACCCTACCTCATTTCATAGAGGAGCCAGAGGACGCCTATATCATCAAGAGCAACCCCATCGCACTGAGGTGCAAAGCAAGGCCAGCCATGCAGATATTCTTCAAGTGCAATGGCGAGTGGGTCCATCAGAACGAACACGTCTCCGAGGAGACTTTGGACGAGAGTTCAGGTAAGAAGGGGAGGCTGTCCCAAGAATCTGGTCGCCCCTCAGATGCTCACACCATGAACGAGCCAAACAGAGCTGTGTGAACCACCCGCTGTGGCTTATTGGAATGAGACCATATTAACATCATCCCAGGAATATCAGATGCAATCAGATATTGAAATGACTCCACAGATCCTTTGCCAGTCTGTACAGTACAGGAGTATTTTTTTTTTCCTGCTATATAACTTTCACACCTAATTTTGTCTGGAAGTTAATACTCTCCCTGGGAATAAAACCAGGCAGTCGACTGCTTTCATTTTCTGAATTCTCAATATTTTTGAAGGGAAATAGATTTTAACTTACTTTAAGCAGCATAATTTCAACATCTTTAGTCTTTCCTCCTAGATAATAATATTTTGTACTTCATTCTCCATAGTCGGTGGTTTCTGAGTTTTCTTTGATGACTAAATGCAAATTGGATCTCCAGTATGAAAGAATTTTTGTCAGGACCATTTTTATTTTATTAGATTGGCTAATTTGGCTGATGAGTGAGGGAAGTGGTCGTAGTGATCCTGCTAGTTAGTGTTTATTGAGCACTTACTGTATACCAGACCTTACCTGAGCACCTCACAGACACTATCTTACTGACTTTACAACAGCTCTCTGGAATAAGTAATACTGTCATTGCCTTGTTGCAGGGAGGGAAACTGAGACTCAGAGATGATAAGTAAACAGTGGGCTTGTGCTGGATCTCAAAGCAAGATCATTTGACTCAAAACTTTCAAAATTTACAGCTTTCTTAAATTTAAGGATGTCAGAAGCTGTATATGTTTTTGAACTTTGGCCCCTCAGAGTACCTGAAAATTTAGCCTCAGCCGGACTCCTATCTGGCCTCACCCTAGATTTCTGATCCTGTTAGTCCTGACATACTCATTAGATAACCAGCTTTTGAATAAATCAGAAAGCCTGAGTATAATTGGCTTAATCAATTAATTAATCAGGTCAGCTTAATTATTAACTAAAAACCAGGTCATTCTATGCACGAGGCTAAGCCTTTCAGAGTATTCAAAGAATGGTACGATGCAAACACTGAACTCTAGGGCTGTATATCTAACTGAGAGGTAGAAGGCTAATGTACCCACAGGTGCAGGGCAAATGAAGTTACAGTCAATGTTTGAAGAGACACAGATGGTGCCATGGAGGATTAAAAGGTAAAACTAAAACCAAAAACAGGAGCGGTGGCAGCAACAGCATTTGAATGGGACATTGATGAATATGTAACTGAAATAGATGTAGTTAATGTTTCCATGGGGCAGAGGCTTCTCGGTGGTCTGAAGGTCAACAGCAGCAAATGGAAGAAAGGCTATTGTTTGGTCAGGAAAAAGTTGGTTTGGTTGAAATACAAAATTGATGTAGAAGAATAGCATATGACAGCTGGAGAACTTGGTTCAGTCAGTGGCCTGAAAGCCTTCAAATACCAGAGCAAAGAGTTCTGTATTTAACTTTATGGATAGTTTGCTGGTGGTGGGGACTGATTATGTTGATGTATGGAAATGCCATGGCTGGGCCTCTGCTTCAAAGGATGAATCCAGCACAAGTGTCTGGAATGGTAAGGAGAAACCAGAATGGGGAAGTTAGGAGGCTTGCATAATTCAGTTAAGAGAAGTGGTAGCCACAGAAGGAAGAACTAGATATCAGGTGTGAGAAGCACTTCCACACCCCAGACTTAATAGCTGAATGAATGATTGAGGAAGATGGGGAGGAATAAAAATGAATCTCTTAACAGAAGCAGAAGGGTGATATGATTAATGTAAGTAATTACATTAGCAAGGAGAAAAGACTGAGGTCACTAGACAAGCAGAATTTGAAATCCTTATGGGATGTAATGAAGAGAGGTAGATTAGGATCTTGGTCAAGTTCAGGGAGAGAAACGTATATTTGGTAATCATCAATAAGGAATGAGACTCTGTAGGTGGAGATTGTAGAGAGAGAATGGGTAATAATATGAAAAGGAAATGGGGCCAGAGATCTAGCCCCCGACAAGCCAGAAAGAGGAATAACAGCCAAGCGAGAAGTAAGCAAGCCGAATACACTGTGTTCCAAAGGGAAGGAGAACAGTTATTTCAGAAAGATTTCAGGTGACATTCTGTCTCTGCCTAGGAGTCAGTAAAGAAAGCAACAAAGGACTAAACATTTATATAAACAGTGCTAAACATTTCACAGTTCTGATTGAATCTAAGCTTGCAAAGTAACTTCAAAAGTTGGAGAAACACCTAAAACTTCATCTCAATTCCCCATTCTCTCCAGTTTGGAACTAGTATGAGGGATTAACAACAAAAGTGCCTGTTTTAGAGATGTTCTTCAGACCCAAAACCCACTTAGCATTCTGGAATCTGAGTGTGAGAACTGGAAGGGATCTCAGTGATAACCCTGACAGCCTACTTTTACACATTCAACATTTTAAGTTCCAAAAGATCCACCTAGCTCATGGCACAGATCTCCTGATTCCCACTTGAGATAGATTTCTATAAACCGCTTCTACATACAGATTCCTCTGCTGTCCTTCCCAGTCAAAATATTGACAGATATCCTGGCTGACATAAAGATGGGTTTCAGCAGTTGGCTCATCATGTTTCATCACGAATCTGTTTAGTGTTTCCATTTCCCAAGTGTAAATTCTGTAGTTATTCCATTGGGATTTCTTTATTCCTGTTTCTGCCATCTCTGTGAGGTCCAAATCCCATATTCTTCATGGTGTTGTTGGCACTGCTGGGCAAAAGTGTATAACAACCAAAGATACAGAGGCATTTCCAGAATTCCAGGTATGGTTTTCTTCTTCAAAGAAGGATTTGGTTAATCAAGGTAAAAGAAGAGGACAGACTGACTCCGGATGTCAGGAAAGTTCCTCAAATTAGACCAACTGGAAAGGACTCCGACGTCCATGCCTCAGTGGGGCTGTATGTTTTATCTGCAGATGTCTCTGTCCTAGATTTTGTCCAGGAAGGTGCTCAAAATAGCAGAATCCCATTAGGTAAACTGCTCCAAATGAAGGATAGGAAGGCCATTGAAAAATGGTCAGCTATTTTTTATACCACTGCTAAAAAGCCTATATCCATTCTCTTTAAAAGGCCTCTTGTAAGTATTGCTAGCCAATTTAATGCTGCATCCCTTTAGTCATTTCATAGAATTCTTTTCTTTTTGTTGCTTTCCTCTTTCAATTCCCCCAGCATTGCTAGGCAACTCCACATCTTGCAGAGTGTTGATTACATTTTCTGCCTCTGACTAAAAGTCTCCCCTCTCCCCTTACTTTAAAAAAAAAAAGGCCAAAGAAGTCACAAATTTCAAAGGAACTAGGAAGACAAAAATTCATAAATGACATAATCTGGAGAAATTATGCACCGTTTTTTTAAATGCCATTGAAAAAGAATTTAAATTTTAGCAGCTACCTTTTTGAAAAGAATTAACTAAGCACAGCCTTTTAAAACTAAGTCATTTTGATGGCATCAATGGGAAAGAAATGTCTCTCCTTTTTCAGTTTTCTTGTGTGTAGTTAATGAAAATTGCTCTCTACTGCACTGCAGCAATTCTGTTTCCTAAGCTCTGTATTAATCATGGAATAGTGGAAATTGGAGCAAGATGAATGGAGATAGTACACCCCAGCCCTATGCATAAGTGCAATTAAGGTTAGAAACAAAATGGCCTCAGGTATTGAAAAATAGATGCATTACTTCCCTTGGGTTTTCAATATTGGGCTTGAGCACAGGGCTTGACTACCTTTACAGATTTAATGGCTTTTGATGGGGACTGTAAAATAATTCCTGCCAGTCCAGTTGAAGTAAATGACGCCAAGAGGCCAAGAGCAGTGGGATCATATTCGACCAGAGATAGAGAATTGTCCGATGTTCTTGTAAGAAGTTGAAAGCAGCTGCTTATATCTTTCACCAACATCTTCTCTATTTCTGAAATCCTAGAGAATTTAGATACTCTTTTTACATACAGGTTTTCTTTCCTCACATTAGTAACAGAAATACATAGGACTTGGGAGTGTCTGGAGTAGACCCAGAATCTTCTGTATTTCCAAATTGGAAGCAATAAGTCCTTTCAGTTGTTAAAGGCTGCAAACTGCCTTTGGTCTTTCCAGTAATTTGGCTCTGTCATCTAACAGTTCAAATCAGAAGAAAAAGGATGGTGTGTTTTCATGCAATTTAGCTCAAAAAACCCAGAACTGGAGTTCTTTCCTGTACCAGGCACTGTTGATTTGACGTGAGTTACTGTGTTGCACAGACATGGCGATACCTCTTAGTGATGTACACTTCCTGTTCTCTGCACCAGCCGTGGGATTCTCTTTATTTGTCCTGCCTCATTTCATTTGGAAATACGGGGGCTCTTCCTCCTTGTGTTTGTCCTCCATTAACATTTGGAGCTGAGAGGTGATCCCAACCCAAGAATCATACCCCTGAGAAAGGACAGAGTGGTCAGAAACAGAAATTAAGAGCTTTAATATAACAAACAGGTAGATACACACACACACACACAGAAAACAACAAACCCAGTAAAATCCATCTTTAGCAATCAGGATAATACAGCCTGTGGGAAGCTAGAGTTATCAATAAGCTGAAACACTTCTTAACTGTTCAATAAAAACAGGAGTTCCCTTAACAACGCTCCATGGCTCTTATCTTATCCTACCTTGGAGATATTGAACTCTAATGAGTGAAATAATGCGTATTCCAATGTGTTATGGGAAAAGTCTCCACTCTGGTAAACTAATATTTTTCTTCCTAAGGAATATCATTTCAGGGATTTCATTGTGTGTGATTTCCTGTTTAAATAACTAGAATCACTCTGGGGATAAAAGGTTAATGGATTGTGTTGAAAAAAGAGAAAGGAGTAGAAATAAAAATCTATTAAATCTTTAAAGTTTATATCTAAGAACTAAACTGTACTGGTGATGGGGATTTGAATAGAGTATCTCCCAGAAAACCATTAATTCGAAGTTACCACTCACAAATCACCAAGGCACA